AAAGATTTTGGTATCATGCTTTGTTAATCAGTCCCTGAAATTCAGCAGCAATGTCATGTAATGTCAAATGGAGGTCCCTGCTCTAACTTGTGAAGGATGCGTGTGCGTACACCAGCATCGGCATGAGACTGAAGACTGTAAAATATATGTGACTTTTGAACTCATCAGTTGTCATCATATCCAATTTGAAACGTTCACACTCTCGGTTCACAACCTCACCATGTGTTATAAAATCAAGGCTCTCACGTTTGAGCAACTTTAGACAATTAAAACGGATACTGAACAAGGATGCTGCTTGCTCACCGAAAATCGACGTGAGAGTTTCCGCAGTCTAATCGAAACGGAAGTCTCTTTTATTCCATGGCAGCACAAAATTGGTGTAGTGTGCATGCTCGACTGTATCGAGTTTACGCTGCAACCACCGAACTTTCAATGCACATCTTGCGCTGCCAGCTCAACAAAGAAAATATATTCATATTTCTTGAAGCAGGAATCAAAAGTTACTTCATTCGATTTATCGAAAATGAACTCGGTGATTGTTGTTTTGGTTGCATCTACTGAAGCCCGTGTGCCAGCATCTTGGGTCTCAGGTAGAACGTTCAGCTTCTGTGCAAATAACTCGAACAATTGCTTCTGGGATTTCTCAAAATGTAGCTGCTGTTGTTGAAGAAGCTGCTGCATCCGATCAAAGGAAATAGAAATTATTGTCCAACACCTCCGTCGCCAGAATCTGTTATGTCCTCAGAGTTACGACTTAGCAGCTCCTATGTTGCGCCTCGCGAGCCAAAAGTCAAACCACCGGACGATTAGGATATTGACGAACACAAAATAGGCCGACATAGGACAAAAACGCACAGATCCAGTTTGAATCAGTTGTGTGTTCGGTTGATTTTATAGGTCTCAAACAATCAAGAGACGTGCGAATGACTTGAAACAAGCGACAGTAACAAATGTTCTGCGACACGGAAACAACGCTGGTTTGATTGTAGCTGAGGCTGTTCTGACACAAAACACAGTTGTTTGTGGGGAATTGTGCCCTTATCTTCCAGAACAAGTCAATGTGTTTCGTTCCTATGCGCGTTTGACTTTGATCTGTGTGGAATTCTGCTGTTCCACGTAAGCTACACGATTCGGTGTGAATCAGTGAGGTTAACTCGACTTACTTCTCAGTGAAATTTTCCTCGGAGTATGTCGTTCGAGCCCAACAGGAGGGTGCTGTCATATCGGACGCTGATGCGATAAACTTTCACTCAATTATATCAAAGATCTATTTATGAGTATAAAATATATGTACCCTGACAATCTAGTAATGCTGTTGTGCACAGCTAATGTTGGTAATAGTCAGGTCTTTTTGTGGCAACCTCGTTCTTAGCAGTGTTCGTAACTTGCATGGCAGTGGAGGATAAGATGCGTCATATGGCAGTTAACTTGTGAATCTTGACGGTCCACCGCTGTTTCATACGGCTCAGGGATTTGGGCGGCTGGCGGTTCAAGCCTCTGGTGGTCATGAGTTCGGAGCTTGATGCAGCCGAACGATGCACACTACTGATAAGACTTACCAGGTGGAAACGGTAGTCCAATGCTTTTCCCGGCATGTGGAAGACTATCTAATTTGAAAGCTGATGCATTGAAGTTGCAGTCAAGTACGCTACTAAACGCAAACGATGTCTAAACTGGCTTTTCCTGACATTTGGGCGTACGCAAGCATACGGAGTTTGTAGTCATATGAAGAAATATAAATTTATAATCTTGTCTTAGGTACTACTGTGTGGACACTACTAACACCGTGTTCTCCCTAGTTTAATGTAATGGTTTCTCAACTTTGCAGCATAGTGGAGCAACTTAGAAGCATCGCGTAGCTTGTAGCTGAAACGACAAACAAGCACAGACACATAGGGTTGACCAACATATTTTATTTTCGACGTTTAAGCAATACACCAATTGACTGCACAGCAAAATGACATTAAAATGGCCAAGCGTGACGAACGTTGACCGCGGGGCTCCGTGGTTTAGTGATAAAAGCGCTACTGACAATCTCTACATTTCGATGCGAGTCCCATCACTGCTATCCCTACATCCAGATTCCAAACAATAATGAAGGTATTCAAGGAGTACATGATCAGAGTTGTTAGAATCTGTTATTGATTTGTCCACTTCAGATATGGCCGCAGTGTGCAAACTGGCTGACGTTTAGTTTATCTATTGCATTCCGTACACAAGTATGTTAGACAAAATATCTAGCGATGCTCAGGGATATTGTTATCTTTGTTATAATTATCAACCATAGTATTACACTTGTTGCCTCATCAACGTCATGTAAACATTCATTTCAATATTTTAAATTGTCACGAGCATCGGCGCACAACCGCTTTGGTGGTAATCTTCAGTGAATGGATGCGACTATGGCAATACGCCCTTGAATCTTTGGTGTTGCGATGCTCCCCATGTGTCTGGATGTGAGATGCAGACACCACAGGGGGGTCACATTTTACAAAAATAAACTTCAACCATTCCGATCAGTGTGACCTCATTCACAATGGAGAGTTTTCTGTCTTTCTGACAAGCATTATATATATATATATATATATATATATTTGCAAAAGTCTGCTAACAGACATAATGCCATCAGAAACCATGGGATACAAACGAAGGTACAGAAACAGTAAAATAAAACACAACACAACAATGTCCATGGTTTCCTCAGAGGGCGAGATACTACCCGGTTGCCCAAGCCGAAGTAGGGTGTTGACTTAGGGGACACCACCCCGAGCCTTTGGCTGAATAGCCTGCCTGCAAGGCAGCGGAGCGAATTCAGGGAATCGCGCCCATTGGGAGCCGGTGACTGATTGCTCAGTTCCTACGCCTTTCGTTTGTTCCTTTGTCAAACAGGGGCCCAATGCTCCCCAGAAGTACAGCATAAACTTGCTGGAATACAATGCTTCGCCAAGATGAAGCAAGGGACAGTGACTTTATGTAGTGGCGAGTCACGTCCGCCACGTCACAGTGTTGTTAAACGGACATATGTGGCTTTTTATAGGGAGAACGCTTGCCAGGCGAAAACCCACCACGTCCTAGAACACTACCGCCGAACCATTTGCTGGAACGGGAAAATCCCGAACCACGCAGCTGGCACCACTAGGAGGTTGTTCGGCAAGCCAGCCTCTGACAAGCATTAATATACCTTATGATTGGTTTAGTCATTATTTTGACCTTTCACTCAAAGATAGAATCGGTGCGTGGCGGCTTGCAGTTTTTCAAAAATGACGTTCCATGGTAGGAGTCTACTGAATGGTGTTGGCACCATGCTTGTAAAACTAAGATTTCGCACATTCTTAAATCCAGTCTTAACATTTGTTCAACAGAAAAACACAATTGAAGTCATCACTTTGAGGGTAGTTCTCTTAAATACATCAGTTACACACTGGACGCACAGAAAAGATTGTAGGAACCCATACAGTCTGGATGTTATCTGTGTTAGGGGAACCGCTTAATTGAGATGCACATTTTCTGGTAGTTCGCGATTGTTCCTACATTTTTGTTGCAAACACCTCTTAAGCTTTGTTTTAACGGATCATTTTAGCAACCCTATTGGCCGTTACAAGTCCTTATTTCCTGTGGCTTATGGCAGTCTCGACCCGCTTGTGATTGATGCTATCCATTGCTCCTCGTTGAATGTGTCTGATTGGTACCTTATTTGACTGTTCTTATATTGGTTGAATTCGTCCGGTGTTTTCAGTGCCTTGGTTGGTCTTGACTGCTGCTAGTCTGCTATACAACATGGCTATTCTAGTCATGGTGTCCTCGTTGTGTAGTTGGAGGCGACACAACAACACCCTCCAAGGTCCACGCTGTACGAGCAGTTTCACTACTTGCCTACACCGTTTGGGTAGAGATGACAAGCGAAATCATCACCTTGAAGATTACAAGACAATACGAAGCCGGTAGGTGTGCAGTTTTGTAAGCGCGCAGCGCCTAACATTTCTGTGTTCCAGATGTCACCCTAACACAAGAAATGCCTGAGATTCATTGTAACGTTAGTGATTGTCCAGCTCGAGACTGCGTGTCACCATCCATGCATATCAGTGAACCCATAATTTGTCGTTAACCGTTGCGACAAGCGCCTTGGTGGCCTAGGGGTGGACGCCTAAGTAAAGAATCTCCACATTTGGAGTTCAACGGTCAATACCTGATGGCGAGCAGGAAATGAGTCGTGGATGAAAAGTTGGAAGCAAATAGTATGTGATACTTTCCGTCCCATATACGAGCCCCGATGTCGGCACTGACCGGAACTTAGTTCAAAGTCTATCGCTGCCCCAATTGAGATTGATTGTCGCATTCCGTTCACTCGAGAGGTGTTTCAAACCAAATCAATGGAGAAGAATGGGTTACTAAGGCACGTTCGGTTCACAATCATCGATCAACTAAAAGCACTATCCTTTAGGGTATCAGTGCTGTATGCACACAATTAAATGAGCCGGGTGGGCCAACGCGGTTTTAACGTCATAACGATCCGTTCCTTAACACACAACTCCGGCTCGTACAGTGGAACCGCGATGACCTCAGCGAATTCAAGTTAACGCCTACGGACGCTTTTTGATCTATTGTCCGGGGCCTGGTGTGGACATCGACTGCTTCCCTGATGCTTATTCCAGTGGAAGTGTTGACTGCACGCTACCAATGGCTTCGTAGTGACCTCAGAATAGCGACCTCATACATGTAGACCGTCAAGTAGACTCTATGAACCAAAAAATCAGCTTGAGAAGTAACAAACCGGGACTACATGAGCATCTCATTCAGGACTATTCTTACCTTTAGGCAGGCATACATGGCGCTCTGTTTCAAACGCACTTGTTTCTACGCCTGTCCTAACTCATACGTCGTCCTATACATTGTGCAACCCTAACTGGGGTATTTCGCGCAACTGACACCTTCATCCGCGCCAACAAATTAACCATTACAAGCGGGTGCCCATACCCATGTTCCCCATGTATAACTTACTTATGTTTTTCGCTGCTCCGCATGCACTTTCTAATTCAGTCATCCAGCAGTAAGAATAAAGCAAAAAGTTCTAGGCTTGTATTGCGTCATTGTTTGTTCGTTACGATTTAATTTCATTTACTTTCAGATTCCCCAGCGGTACCGAATTTCTGGGTGAATATCCCGATTTCATCGGCGCTCTCTTGATCATCGTCCTTGGACTCATTTTGTGTCGTGGACCCAAACTATCCGCCATGGTCAACACTATCGTGACTCTGCTGAACCTGGTGGTCATTATTCTGGCGACCTGCGTCATGTTCTCCATGGCACGTCAGACCACATCAGATTTTGCACCCGCAGCACATGGTGGCTTCTTCCCGTATGGATTCGCTGGAATGATCGGCGGGGCTGGGACCTGCTTCTACGCCTTCATCGGCTTCGACGCAATCACCGTGAGCAGTGAAGAAGCAGTCAACCCGAAAAAATCCATGCCCGTGGCCATAGGGGTTTCGGTCGCGATGGTCGCTGTACTCTTCATGCTCGCCAGCCTCAGTCTGACGCTGTTCGTGCCATGGTGGACCGTCGACCGACAAGCAGCCTTTACCGCCGCCTTCCACATGCGTGGTATTGAGTGGGCCACATACGTGACGGGCGTAGGATCCTTGTTGGGTTTGAGCGCCAGTCTCTTCACAAGTATGTATGCCATGCCACGTATTGGGTACGCAATGGCCGCGGATGGACTACTCCCGAAATGGCTTGGTTACGTGTTACCGTCTACACAGGTGGGCTTACAGTGCTTTTTAGTTGAGTTGAACTGTGGCCGTCATCATGCCTATCTGCTGGACAAGCTATTGTCGAATGTGGGTTGGAAAACGGTGGTTAACCATTATTCTTAGCCGGTTTGAGGAAGATTTATTATAGCGATTCGCTTCAGTGCTCAGACGTGTATCATTTTTGGATGTTTGTCAGTGTCGATTTTTCAAGTTGCGGCCCGCGCTGATATCCAAACAGATGTTTCGTCAACTATGCTGCCTTACGCTGTGGGGCATATCGTGTTCACAGTGGCATGAAACTCGCGCTCCAAAGACGGCCGCACATGGTAGCTCCATTGGTCGCGTGATTAGGCACTTGATATATTCGGAAGTTCTAATCTTGTTATACTAGTATTGATGAGCGGCTAATTGTGGAATACGCACCGTTGTGTACGGGGCACTTGTAAGACGCAAGCTTATTACCCGCCTTGTCACTCAACAATTAGCGCTTCTGGCTTGTAACCCACAGGTTACGGGTTCCATCCTACGGGTGATCTCGCAGTACCACAAATTTGCAGGCGACTGGTGTTGGTCGTGTAATAAGGAAGCAACAGTTCAACACACCGGCGTATTACAGATACCAACTCTCTGTTGTTTTATGTTGACCACAAGGAAGAGTTGTGCACTGAGTGAATTCAATTATAGTCGTACATAAACATGACGTATGGTTGAGCGCGGAACCAAAGGTTTAGGATCAAATTGCGCTGTTCGATCACACGTGACTAAATTTCCATCTAATTCGGTATGCTTATACATCTAGTTGGATGGACAGGATTAATCAGACCGACTGCTGTTGTTATTTGACTGGAGTTTTCGCTGTGTAGCTGATCAGATTGTTGGATGGATGCACCAAGCACCTTTTCCTTCCAACGAGGATACGATGACTCCCGTCACCTGTAAACAAATCCAAGCAAACCCACTTCTTTGAAGTAGTCACCTTAAGTACGCATTGTATGTTGTCACGAGCCCTGCGACTGCTTCCACTCAGTAACGGTAGTGAGAATACGAACAAGCGGGAATCGGGTCCAGAACTCTTTTCATAGGAAAGCGGCCTCGTCAGATAGCGTGACACCTATAAATGTGTAAGACAACCAGAGTGCGGAAGGCGTGCAGACAAGCAAGGCCAGTAAGGAACGACCATAAGAAGGAAAATGATCGCATTGGAGTCAGATTAGGTCTGTAATTCGATGGGGTTAATAAATTGGCACGTTACAACAAACGTCAGCAAATGAGCACCAAAAAAGGATAGTCAGAATTTATAAACGTTCACGTAAGCATACATGCATTAGTATCCCTATTCTAATATTGTTGGTACGGAATACGCTACGTAACCTCAGTCTGGACCTAGAGTTATGTTGATATGAATTTTGGTCAAACGGATCACCGGGACTTTGTCTGAAGCAGATAAATGTTATGCGTAATCCCCTCGCATCACTTCATTCCACAAGCGAATTCGCATTTGTTCGGGTCCGTCAAGTAGAGAAAACGGGACTGTAACTCAAACCCGAGGAGATGGGATGCGACCGGAATCCCTTCTCCCTAAGCTATCGAATCACGACGTTCAACCCGTTTACGATTAGTGGTGAATTAGAGCGCTAGTACTTTTGGTTGTGTACACGGACGCGCAATCATCCTCTCTCAAGACGGTTGGTCTAACCTCCTCCACGAAGGTTGACGGAACTACTTGAAGGCGGATACGAACTTCAGAGGTCATGTGGTCTGGTAGTTGTGACGAGTTTCCGGTCGATGTCCGGCGATAAATAAACAAACAAATAAACGACTTTTTCCCGACGGTGCGAGACGCCTGGTGATACAAACGCGTAACATCAGTAATGGTACAGAAATGTTACGATTTAACCATTATATACCGGATATAAGCGTGTATGTATGTATAGTATTTATGTGGGTGGGGCTGCAAGGTCCTTGGGGCCTTACTAGGCTCGAAGAGTGGTTCCATGCACTCCTTGTGGAGCGGACGACGTTCCAGCCACCGCATTGTGCGTGGTTGATTCCCCAAATACAGCGTGCTTGTTTTTGCCTGTGAAGGAGTGTGGGCCGGCTCCGTTGATGAAACGTGGCTCCCATCCGCATACCTCCCGGTCTTATTCCTTTGGGTTTACACCGGATAAGGGGTGTGTGGGTGGAACTGTGGGTGGTGCAGCGCAAGCCACCTATGGCCCTCTGTAGGCACAGGCGTCCTGTGGCTGTCCACAGTGACAGGCAAATCCGAAACCGGATGCCGCCAACCATATATAGTTCAATAGTTCAATAGTGTATGGTGGGATAAAAAGCAATAACTTTACAAGACCCACAGGATGGCAAATGGAAGAAAACAAAAGTTTCAGGTGTGACACAAAAATATCAGTAAGTTAGACACTGCAGTTTGTCATACCGTTATATAATGTGTATCATGTAAGTGCAAGTCCAATAGTCTTTTGAATGTCTCGATGTTTGGTGCGTTCACCACATGCGATGGCAGTGCGTTCCATTGCGGACAGACACTAAGAGAGTAAAAAAACTTTCTACAATCTAAACGGGAATATTGAGTCACAAGTTTTAGTGCATGGCCTCGGCATCGTTTGTCGGCAGATAATGTTAACAGCGACTTACATGGATGGTCCTCTTCTCTTAGTATCCGGTAAGTGAGGATCAGATCACCGCGAAGTCGTCGGTATTCTAAGGAGTACAGACCGATCGAACGAAGGCGCAGTTCATAACTAAGGCCCGATAGACCACGTGTTGCCTTAGTGGCTCTTCTTTGTGGTTGCTCCAGGCGACGAATGTCCCGTTTTAACCACGGACGCCATGCCTGCACCGCATACTCGAGGTGGGGACGAATGTAGGCGTTAATCAATAATGGCACGAGTTGCCGCTCGAAGGTACCGAGCGCTCGCCTCAAAAGCCTCAAGTTTAAGTTCGCTATGTTAGCTGCCTTTGAACATTGGAGCGAATTACCCAGACCTTCTTGCACGATGACCCCTAAGTCTCTTTCGTTGCTCACCTGTTTTATAACGCGCTGCCCCAGGTGATATGTGTTGCTGCAGTTACTGCGCAGCGACAACAGGTGACACTTTTCGGGGTTCAGGGGTAGTTGGTTGTTTACTGCCCATTCGTGAATCCGGTTCAGGTCATCCTGCAGATAGACAGGGTCAGATGTTGACTGAATAGCTCGCCACATCTTAGCATCGTCGGCGAATATTTGCATAGGTGATTGAATGTTGGCAGGGAGGTCGTTGATATAGACTAAAAAGAGTAACGGGCCGAGAACTGATCCTTGCGGTACGCCGCTAGTGACGCATAGGCTATCGGAGTGGGTGTTGGCGATCCTTACCTCGATTCTTCTGTCGTATAAGTAACTTTCCAATCATGTGAGCAAGGATCCGTGGATACCATAGGCCGCAAGCTTTCGGAGAAGTGCTGGGTGATTGACTCTGTCGAATGCCTTAGAAAAGTCTAAGTAAATCACATCTACGGGAACTCCCTCGTCAGCAGCCCTGGTCCATGAGTCCCGAGCAAGTAGTAGATTGGTGAGGCAAGATCGTCCGCGTCTGAATCCATATTGGAGGTTAGAGATGATTTGTAGACTTTCAAAATATCTCACCATTTCATCAGCGATTATAGACTCCATCACTTTTGATAGAACAGGAAGGAGAGTAATAGGTCGGTAGTTGGCACGGTCTGACCGCATGTGTGAGTAATCGTGTGGTGTGAATTTTTTTAGTATAACTCTGCATTTGTGCGTTTGTTCCTTGAATGCTCCAATATAGGAAGACGTCAAATGAATGCCTTGAAATGGTTGACGTTCGCGAAACATGTAGGATCCTCCGTAATGGCAAGGCAGTGACTTTATTTAGTGGCGAGTCATATTCGCCACCATACAGTGTTGTTAAGCAGACATTAGTGGCTTTTCATAGGGAGAACGTTTTCCAAGCGAAAACCCACCACGCTTTGGAGCACTGCCGCCGAACTATTAATTGTACCGGAACTAATCCGAACCACCCAGCTGGCATCACGTGGAGATTGTTCGCCCAGCCAGCCTCGTGCTTGTCGGAGCGGTGGATTTAATTGGTTCTTTTTGACAGGCTGTAATCAGACTTATTCTCCTTTCATCATGCAAACGACTTTAGGCGAAAGATGCAGACCCTGTGTTCCGTTCGCACTTGATAATGCATTCAACAGACTAAATGCTCTAATTGACTACGAGTCATGTTTATTGCAACAATCGCTCAATGTAAGTTATTCTTGAGCCTAAAGCTCAGGCAAAGATCCAATAATCACGTTGCACTCGATAGGGCATCCTCCTTTCCTGTTTTAATTAATGTGCTGTATGTCGGCGTTTTATCTTTCTCCTTTGGCCCTGTTGTATCGCCGCTGACGTTTAACATCACACGATTGCAGTGCGAACACAAAAGTTGAGCCCAAACTGAAGTAATAACATGAGCGTTCGGTTTTATTTATATAGGATACAGTAGAGTAGAAGCAAAGCTAATGAAACACCTTGGAACCAACCAACTGCACAAAAGTCGCTGG